ATCCTCCCCCCATGTAGCCTAGACGTTCATAAACAAAAAAGTATTTTTGTCTCAAAATTGCTTTCATGGGAACTTGGTGTTCTGCCAATAAAATATTTCCTTGCCAGCAGTGAAGAGGTTAAACGCTAGAGGCTATCATACTCTGTGTTGTATATCGCAGTGGGAAAAATCTATAAATATGACCACCTCTCAGGCAGCGAAGCACAAACAATTAACTGGGGAGTAGGCTAGCCCTCTGATCTCTCCCTCTATACTCGTTCTGACATCATAGAGAGACCTGTCAAAATGTTGGTACTACCCTCGCTCTCTCGGCCCTCCTGTGTTGACATTTTGCACAACCGAAGCTGCCTAACTAGACAAAGTTGGAAGTTTGAAAATCCACTTCTTCAAAGCAGAAGCCTAGTCTGACACACCCTAAAAAATAAAAAATAGAAAATAAAGTCTGACAGGCACTGGTTTCTGTCCCTTTTTGCATTTCGAGATGCAGTGGATTTACAGTACTTTACAGTTTCTTCAGATGTTTATGATCAACATTTATCCTCCAGATTTTACCATTTCAGGGGGAAAACTTGATTAGTTTGAATCTCTGAGATGTTCACAGTACCTTTCTCAACTGCTTAGATAATCTACAGTGTATGTGTATATCCATTTGCATTCCTCAATGATAGGTGGATTATACTCTGGATAACAGAGAGGTTATGTCACCCAAAGAGTGGAGTTATGAGGAAATCATTATGAGAAATATATTCAGTTGTATACTGATAGATATGTTCTTATTCTCAGCTTCCTCAAACAGTAGACCTACAACTTCAGAGCTGCGTAGCCTATTACGGCATTACAACATGCAACAACATCATGTAACCACATCATCATGTACCTTGTAACAACAAACTTAACACCATGTTGGTCTAATGTAACAACAAATAGTTAAGGGTGTGCTGTGGTTCATATTGCTCTCAGTGTTGATTTACTGAGTGTTATTTTCAATTGCCCTGATTCGAAGGGATCCTCAGAAGACCACTGTGGAGAAATGAAAGGAGAACCACCAAGACAGAGGTCAATCTAATGAGTACTATATCTGCTGGATGAAAACGGCCGCAAGCCAAAGGCCAAAGTTGTGTGTGTACAGCAAACAAGGTCTGTTGTGGACTTTGTTAGCCTTAGAGCACTATTATAAGAAACATAAGACCCAATGTTTTATTTTCAAGAAACTAGTCTGGGCGGAGTCTCTTTGGCCACATTCCAGCAGGAACCCAACAATGTTTACATTTTCAGTACATTCTGAAGTCTTTTTAACAAGCCATCTTTACATGGGTCATTTGAAGCTTTGCTTCACCAGTGTATAAGCTTTCTGATTATCACCAGTAATAAGGAAAGCTGTAAACTTGTAAATATTTACCCACTTTACACTTTTCTATGTATGAATAAGGAAGGTGTTGCACATACGTAGTTTAGCCAATTGAGAACAGAAGGAAATCCTCACAAATAGAGCATAAAGACATCATCCGATGTTGGGTTACAAACTGACTACATTTGGAGAGAAAAAAACTCCATATACTGTACAGTGGCTATTTCCAAATTCACCGACAAAGCCTAATTGTCATCGGCAAGGACTAGGGAGTTTTTTGGGATAAAAAGATACGGAATACAGATATACAGTGGCTTGCGAGTATTCACCCCCCTTGGCATTTTTCCTATTTTGTATCATTTGATTTACACAACATGGCTACCACTTTGAAGATGCAAAATAGTTTTTATTGTGAAACAAACAAGAAATAAGACACAAAAACAGAAAATTTGAGCTATTCGACAAGAACGAAGGTTATCGTGTCCAGGGCCCTACTCAAGCATCAGAAGAGTATGTAATCCCATTGTTATGTATTACTTCTAATACTACTATTACTAATTTATTGTATGAGTACAAAACATACATTCTAAAATATCTATTTGAGTAACTGAAGCTCAACGTAAGTTAGCGCTAGCTTAGCTAGCTAGTTGTCACGCCCTGGCTCTGGGGACTCTTATATGTTGAGCCAGGGTGTTAGTTTCTATGTTTAGTTTTCCAGGTTTCTGTTCTAGTATGTTGTATGTTCTATGTTCATGGTCTAGTTCGTTGTATTTCTATGTTGGCCAGGGTGGTTCCCAATCAGAGGCAGCTGATTCTCGTTGTCTCTGATTGGGAACCATACTTAGGCAGCCTGTTTTGCACTTGTTATTTGTGGGATCTTGATCCGTAAGGTTTGTGTTTAACCCTAGAACTTCACGTATCGTTTATTGTTTTGTTCGTGTGTGTACTCATTAAAAGAATGTACGCTTATCACGCTGCGCCTTGGTCCGCTTATTATGACGACGTGACACTAGTCCTGCAAGGATCACAATCGAGTCTGTGTTTATTGTACGATAACACTTTCATTGGCTAAATAGAGGCCCACACGCAAGTTTACTGACAATAGAATGCAATGTGTATTATTTCTTGTCACTTTGTCCACACGTATAGAGGTCTGGGAGAACATTGGAAACAACATCAAAACAGTTGTATTTTGATGGAATGTACACATATAAGTTAGTGAAATTCAATGACTTTTGCTGTCTTGTACCTGATAAAAGTCAAATGGCACTGATGGTGCCCAAATGTCTCCATTTGGTAATCCGCCTAAACATACTTCAACTAAAACCCCTACAACTGTGGTTTACTTTACTTTATTGGCATCAAACTTCACATAAGTACTCATCAGATATTGGGCTATGGTCCCATAGTGTTTAGGGGCTGCAGCTGCATAAGTCCAATAAAGCATTCCCTATAAAACCTGAAGTTACTTTCAGGCGGAATCAAAACCTCCCAATTTATGCTGTGTTCTAGCTTCATGTACTCTGACACAGTAATACCCACATTAATTATTTCACGTCAAGATACATCTCACGTGTTACCTTTCTTTTGCTACCAAGATTATGTTTATAGCCCTTGTCGTTTTGGAGATATACTCTATTCAATTTGGGCATGCATTTTCGAGGCAGGCACTTTAGCCAGGTGCCTAGTGATGAAGAGGTTAAGCAATGGGTTTTTTTCTGGCCACTCTTCCGTAAAGCCCAGCTCTGTGGAGTGTATGGCTTAAAGTGGTCCTATGGACAGATACTCCAATCTCCACAGTGGAGCTTTGCAGCTCCTTCAGGGTTATCTTTGGTCTCTTTGTTGCCTCTCTGATTAATGCCCTCCTTACCTGGTCCGTGAGTTTTGGTGGGTGGCCCTCTCTTGGCAGGTTTGTTGTGGTGCCATATTCTTTCCATTTTTTAATAATGGATTTAATTGTGATTTTTGGGATGTTCAAAGTTTTTGATATTTTTTCATAATCCAACCCTGATCTGTACTTCTCCACAACTTTGTCCCTGACCTGTTTGGAGAGCTCCTTGGTCTTCATGGTGCCGCTTGCTTGGTGGTGCCCCTTGCTTAGTGGTGTTGCAGACTCTGGGGCCTTTCAGAACAGGTGTATATATACTGAGATCATGTGACAGATCATGTGACACTTAAATAAAGTCCACCTGTGTGCAATCTAACTAATTATGTGACTTCTGAAGGTATTTGGTTGCACCAGATCTTGTTTAGGGGCTTGATAGCAAAGGGGGTGAATACATATGCACGCACCACTTTTCTGTTATTTATTTTTTTGAATTTCTTTAAACAAGTAATTTTTTTAATTCCACTTCACCAATTTGAACTATTTTGTGTATGTTCATTACATGAAATCCAAATAAAAATCTATTTAAATTACAGGCTGTAATGCAACGAAATAGGAAAAACGCCAAGGGGGGTGAATACTTTTGCAAGGCACTGAAATGACTGGAAATTATTAATGAACGTTCAAATGAACTGGATGAACAGCAGCACAGTTGACGCATGCACATGAACCCAAGCTCTCTACCATCTGATGAGAGATTTCCAGCTGCCAATATTCCTGTTCTGATATAAAAGGCTGAGGGTTGAACATCACAGGATTATTGAAGCTAGCTCTCCATGCCGCAGGATGGATCCCTGTAAGAGCAGCAGCTCAAAGCTTTGATGCAGCACTATCCCCCACCCCACACAGGAGATGAGAGGCAGCCAACGAGACCAGCTCTTTGGAAAAAGGGAGGAAATAATGCATTTTTGTGACTATGGTTAATATGTGTGTTCTGCTGAGATAAAGCCAAAAAATAATGTATATCAGCAAACGTCTCTCAGGGATATTTGCTGAACCACTCGTCATGTATCTCCATTTTCTACTAGTAAAAACAGAAGGCTATACACTTGGGGGTATAAGCGTAGAAATAGAATGAATAGAATGAGTTTGGAACCTCTAACCCTGGCAATTTCAATGGACACCCATTCTATTCATTCTGTTTCTATGGGTATAAGTAGATTCCTTCATTTACTAATAAGACGAGCCAATGAAAATAAGGCATGAGTATTCATTCTCACCAACTCTGGAAGAAATTACCTCAGCATTACAAAGATAAAAAAACTAATTCATGTCTTTCTACCACCAGAGCTGCCCAAAAGCCTATCCATAATTTATTGAAGAGTCTCCCCTTCTCTCTCCAAATGAAAGCATCAATTAGCCTTGTATATAGGCCTAACATGGGAGATAAAAGTGGTTTTCTCTCTGGTGAATGTGGGAATGATAGGAAAGCTTCCCTTGTGGATAAAATGCAATGGTTTTACATTATTTTAATTAAAATGATAAGTCATCATGAAACCAGTTGGTAGTTCATGTTATCTTTGCAGAGACTCAGATGCACCACCTACCAACAATAGAGTGATTATGTTGTCTTATCATGTGTACACCATCATTGTTCTCTATGGTTCAGCCAGCTGCACGTATGGTAGCCTCCTTCCCTTCCAATAATTGGATTCTGATTCCTTACAAAAACATATGCAGTGCTCCCATAACCATAATAACCATTTTATATTACAGTGATTTTACAGCAGGAGAGACAATGGGCACACACACAGCCAGTGGTTGGTGTTATTTGGTACAGGACTGGCACCTCTCCAGTCCATCAGGGTAGCAGGCCTGGCATCGCAGCACACTGATAGACTCATTGAAGCGGTTGGCCAGCATGGACAGCTTGCTGCCATGGCATAGAGAGCAGGGGGCACAGCCCGAACCGCCACAATGCTGGCAGCCGGACACTGCATCCTGCTGGAGGCACACACACACACAGTGTCACTAACAACACAGAGAGACACTGCCACCCATGTCAACTCATATGACATATCATTACTAGTGAATCCAACAAATGGTCAAGATGACCTGGGTCCAAACAGAGAATGTTACAAAGGCAACAAAAAGAGAGCGAAAAAGAGACAAATTAGAAAATATGGGGAGGCACAGAAAATGAGAAACCCAGTGAGAGAAAGAGAGATGAGTTAGGAATGGAAAGACAGCGAGAGAGAGAGAGGGAGAGCGAGAGGGAGGGGGAGAGAGAGAGAGCGAGAGGGGGGAGAGAGAGGGAGAGAGTGCAACTGGCAATCAGTAGAAGAAGTGACCATGGGGAATTACTGAGAGTATCTCGGCTCATAAATGGCAGCAGAGAAACTGAGTAGTCATCACTGTCTGTGCACAGTCGGCAGGCAGAGAGGGGAGACCATGTGGTTAGAGAGAGACAGAGAAGGGAATAGCATTGCTGAAGCACATTAACACAAAAACACAAGGTGTTCTGGTCAAGCACTTTTACCCCGTCCTGTAGATGTGTGCTTTGCTCCTCCCCGTCCTGTGGATGGGTGCTCTGCTCCTCCCCGTGAGCACAGAGGGCTTTGGGCCTCCTCTTGCCCCCTCTGTCCAGTCCCCCCGGGGTCTGAGGATGTCTCCCTTTCCCTTCTTCCCTCCGAGGGGCCCGGATGATCCGCAGATTGCTGGTGTAGATGATTATCTTTCCAAAGTCCAACACTGAAGACTGGAGGACAAACAAAAAGCATGGTCATGGTCTTTGATATGCATTACTCAGTACAAAGTAGTTGATGTGTGTCTCTTTGTTAACAGTTGGTGCACAATCTCTAATATTAAGGGAGTCTCGAGGTTCTGCTCGCCAGAGTTAGAATACCTCGTGATAAGCTGTAGACCATACTATTTACCAAGAGAGTTTTCATCTATAGTTTTCGTAGCTGTCTATTTACCACCACAATCCAATGTTGGCACCAAGACGGCACACAACGAGCTGTATAGGGCCATAAGCAAACAACAAAATGCTCCTATTGGCCGGTGATTTTAATGCAGGAAAACTGAAATCCGTCTTACCTAATTTTCTACCAGCATGTCACCTGTGCAACTAGAGGTAACAAAACTCTAGATCACTTTTACTCCACACATAGAAACGCATACAAAGCTCTCCCTCGCCCTCCATTTGGCAAATCTGACAATAACTATTTCGTCCTGATTCCTGCTTACAAGCAAAAACTCCAACAGGAAGTACCAGTGACACGCCCAATACGGAAGTGGTCCTATGAAGCGAATGCTAAGCAACAGGACTGTTTCACTAGCACAGACTGGAAAATGTTCCCGAGACTCCTCCGATGGCATTGAGGAGTTTACCGCATCAGTCATTGGCTTCATTAATAAGTTAATCTACAACGACGTCCCAACAGTGGCCGTAAGTACATATCCCAACCAGAAGCCATGGATTACAGGCAACATCCGCACTGAGCTAACGGCTAGAGCTGCCGCTTTCAAGGAGCGGGACACTAACCCGAACGCTTATAAGAAATCCCACTACTCCCTCCGACGAACCATCAAACAAGCAAAGCGTCAATACAGGACTAAGATCGAATCATACTACACCGGCTCTGATGCTCATCGAATGTAGCAGGGCTTGAAACAAGCTGCCCAGTGACACGAGCATACCAGACGAGCTAAATGCCTTCTATGCTCGCGTCGAGGCAAGCAACACCGAACCATGCGTAAGACTGTGTGATCACGCCCTCCGTAGCTGATGTGAGCAAGACCTTTAAACAGGTTAACATTCACAAGGCCGTACGGCCAGATGGATTACCAGGACGCGTACTCAGAGCATGCGCTGACCAGCTGGCAAGAGTGTTCATTGACAGTTTCAACCAGTCTGTAATCCCTACATGTTTCAAGCAGACCACCATAGTCCCTGTGCCCAAGAACGCCAAGGTAACCTGTCTAAATGACTATCGCCCCGTAGCACTCACATCTGTAGCCATGAAATGCTTTGAAAGGCTGGTCATGGCTCACGTCAACACCATCATCCCAGACACCCTGGACCCGCTCCAATTCGCATACCTCCCCGACATACCCACAGATGACACAATCGCTATTGCACTCCACACTGCCATTTCCCACTTGGACAAAATAAACAGCTACGTGAGAATACTGGTCATTGACTACAACTCAGCTTTCAACACAATAGTGCCCTCCAAGTTCATCACTAAGGTAAGGACCCTGGGACTGAACACCTCCCTCTGCAACTGGATCCTGGACTTCCTGACGGGACGCCCCCAGATTGTGAGGGTAGACAACAACAGATCTGCCACGCAGACCCTCAACACGGGGGCCCCTTAGGGGTGCGTGCCTAGTCCCCTCATGTACTCCCTGTTCACCCACGATTGTGTGGCCTCGCATGACTCCAACACCATAATTAAGTTTGTCGACAACACGACGATGGTAGGACTGATCACTGACGACAATGAGACAACCCAGAGACCTGGCTGTGTAGTGCCAGGACAACAATCTCTCCCTCAACGTCAGCAAGAAAAAGGAGATGATTGTGGACTACAGTAAATTGAGAGCCGAGCTTGCCCCTGTTCAAATCGACAGGGCTGTAGTGGAGCGGGTCGAGCACTTCAAGTTCCTTTAAAATCAAATCAAATGTTATTTGTCACATGCGCCGAATACAACATTTGTAGACCTTACAGTGAAATGCTTACTTACAAGCTCTTAACCAACAATGCAGTTTTAAGAAAAATAAGTGTTAAGTAAAACAGATAACTCAAAATTAAAAGTAACAAATAATTAAAGAGCAGCAGTAAAAATAACAATAGCGAGGCTATATACAGGGGGTACCGGTACAGAGTCAATGTGCGGGGGCACAGGTTAGTCGAGGCAATTGAGGTAATATGTACATGTAGGTAGAGTTAAAGTGAATATGCATAGATAATAAACAGAGAGTAGCAGCAGCGCAAAAGAGGGGGGGGGGGGGGGGGGGGGGGGCAATGCAAATAGTCCTGGTAGCCATTTTGTTAGCTGTTCAGGAGTCTTATGGCTTGGGGGTAGAAGCTGTTAAGAAACCTAAACTTGGCACTCCGGTACTGCTTGCCGTGCGGTAGCAGAGAGAACAGTCTATGACTAGGGTGGCTGGAGTCTTTGACAATTTTTAGGGCCTTCCCATGACACCGCCTGGTATAGAGGTCCTGGATGGCAGGAAGCTTGGCTCAGTGATGTACTGGGCCATACGCACTATCCTCTGTAGTGCCTTGCGGTCGAGCAGTTGCCATACCAGGCAATGATGCAACCAGTCAGGATGCTCTCGATGGTGCAGCTGTATAACTTTTTGAGGATCTGAGGACCCATGCCAAATCTTTTCAGTCTCCTGAGGGGGAATAGACTTTGACGTGCCCTCTTCACGACTGTCTTGGTGTGTTTGGACCATGATAGTTTGTTGGTGATGTGGACACCAAGGAACTTGAAGCCCTCAACCTGCTCCACTACAGCCCTGTCGATGAGAATGGGGACATGCTCTGTCCTCTTTTTCCTGTAGTCCACAATCATGCAAATTGGAGTGGGCCTAGGGTTTCTGGGATAATGGTGTTGATGTGAGCCATGACCAGCATTTCAAAGCACTTCATGGCTACAGACGTGAGTGCTACGTTAGTAATTTCAGCAGGTTACCTTAGTGTTCTTGGGCACAGGGACTGTGGTGGTCTAAAACATGTTGGGATTACAGACTCAGTCAGGGACAGGTTGAAAATGTCAGTGAAGACACTTGCCAGTTGGTCAGCGCATGCTCGGAGTACACGTCCTGGTAATCCGTCTGGCCCTGCGGCCTTGTGAATGTTGACCTGTTTAAAGGTCTTACTCACATCGGCTACGGAGAGCGTGATCACACAGTCGTCCGGAACAGCTGAGGCTCTCATGCATGCTTCAGTGTTGCTTGCCTTGAAGCGAGCATAAAATACATTTAGCTCGTCTGGTAGGTTCGTGTCACTGGGCAGCTCGCGGCTGTGCTTCCCTTTGTAGTCTTTAATAGTTTGCAAGCCCTGCCACATGTGACGAGCGTCGGAGCCAGTGTAGCACGATTCGATCTTAGTCCTGTATTGACGCTTTGCCTGTTTGATGGTTCGTCGGAGGGCATAGCGGGATTTCTTATAAGCGTCCGGGGTAGAGTCCCGCTCCTTGAAAGCGGCAGCTCTACCCTTTAGCTCAGTGCAGATGTTGCCTGTTTTTTTATTTTATTTATTTTATTTCACCTTTATTTAACCAGGTAAGCCAGTTGAGAACAGGTTCTCATTTACAACTGCGACCTGGCCAAGATAAAGCAAAGTAGTGCAATAAAAACAACACAGAGTTACATATGAGGTAAAAAACATAAAGTCAGAAATACAACAGAAAATATATATACAGTGTGTGCAAATGTAGCAAGTTATGGAGGTAAGGCAATAAATAGGCTATAGTGCAGAATAATTACAATAGTATTAACACTGGAATGCTAGATGTGCAAGAGATTATGTGCAAATAGAGATACTGGGGTGCAAAAGAGCAAAATAAATAACAATATAGGGATGAGGTAGTTGGGTGGGCTAATTTCAGATGGGCTGTGTACAGGTGCAGTGATCGGTAAGGTGCTCTGACAACTGATGCTTAAAGTTATTGAGGGAGATAAGAGTCTCCAGCTTCAGAGATTTTTGCAATTCGTTCCAGTCATTGGCAGCAGAGAACTGGAAGGAATGGCGGCCAAAGGAGGTGTTGTAATCCATGGCTTCTGGTTGGGGTATGTACGTACGGTGTCCACTTGGTACTGGTACCCCGTGTATATAGCCAACTTATCGTTACTCATTGTGTATCTATTATTACGTGTTTAATTTTTCTATTATTTCTCTCTCCATTGTAAGTCAGCATTTCACTGTTAGTCCACACCTGTTGTTTACCAAGCATGCGACTAATACAATTTGAATCGTTTTAATTTGATAGACAGACTTGAATAAAAGATTATGTTTTAGTGGTTAATACCTGTGTGATAAAGTACTAATTGCGTGTTTACAATGTTTTGCTGTCTCTTTTTAAGTCTATTAATTTGCTGTTCAGCAGACAACTTGACAACACTCCGAGGGCCTTTATAAGTGTACTATCATAAACTGTTAATGGGACTGTGTGATACTTGCCTTATGATTTAGTATTTTCATTAAAAGTAATTTGGAGAAATATGACATAGTGATAAAAGTAAACATCTTATGCTTTTCGTATTTTGTCTAGTCTGAACTCCACAGGACAGACTACAGTAAAAACATTTATCCTGACTGGCTCCAGTAAATGAAACATTGAAGATGTTACTGTTATCTGATCAGCTGATATTTTATTGCTGTATTGCTACAATATTGTACACACATTGAGGTTGGTAAATAACAGCATAAAACAAAAACATTGTTTTGTCCTTCGTTTTAACACAGTTTTATAGGCTATAGCCCAACAGCTCATGATATATTGAAACGCTGTGCCATTATGCAGAATTTTAATTGTACGGCCTTTTAACTTGCAGTGATGGGAACTCTTGAATCTCTTAATTATAGGCTACCCCAACTTTCCTATTTCTATCATTTTAAATATTAGCCATCAGTAGGCCTAATAACAACATCTTAAGCTGCCAATGTACTGTTAGTTCCCTTCAGTTGGTATAGCCATTGTTTCGTTTACCTTCATTTGCTTCCACTGTAAACGACGTCACGGCCGTGTGGTTGTTGCTGAGGATCATTAGTAACAGTTGATAATATATTTAAAAAAAGACATGTAGGGTAATTAAATCGTTATGGAGCGGAGCGCAGACCAAGCCGTAACAGTTTGAACCCGACGCATGGCGCAATACTTGGCCGTGTCATCACACAGTTCCATGGTTAGTGCAGGCAATAGACGAGGGTATATCCTACTACTGTACACTGTTCTCCCTATTATAATTATATGTACACTAATCTTCCAACATTACCATGGTTTGAAGAACTGAATGCCGCAATTTTCTGAATGAACCAAACCAACGTTTTCTTTCTGTAGTGGGTAAAGGCTCTCCAAACCTGTGTTTGTAATTCATAAATACATTTACATTTTAGTCATTTAGCAGACGCTCTTATCCAGAGCAACTTACAGTTAGTGAGTGCATACCATTTTTTTCTTCATACTGGCCCCCAGTGGGAATCGAACCCACAACCCTGGCATTGCAAGTACCATGCTCTACCAACTGAGCTACACGGGGCCCTAATACTTTCTTAAACTTTCCTAAACCTATATAATCTACAAGATCAGAGTATTTTTTTATTGACCAATTGGTGCTGAAATGGAGATGAGTATGCATATATTTAGATGTATTTTCTTCAAATGTTCCCTAATATTCTGAAACCTTTCTCTCAATATATTCTAGTCTGTCGACAAAATTCGAACTAAAAGGTACTCCGTATTTAAATGGATGGCTTTAGATAAATAAGTGTACTGAAAACCCTATTGAATGGCCAGCAAGTGGGAGGGTTTTCAGAGATGTAATGAATTTTATTCAGAGCTCGCAAGGTAGCCACACCTGCAGAGCGCGTTACACAACTGAATAAGCTAAGTCTGAATACCAAATACTGAGAAGTGAATAGGAAAGCCGTACATTTCCTAAGTCTGAATCGGCCCTTAGACTCTAATTGACAAGCAGCCACCCACCAGGATAGAATGAATTACTAATCATGACCCGAATGGCGCAGTGGTCTAAGGCACTGCATCGCAGTGCTAGCTGTGCCACTAGAGGTCCTGGTTCGAGTCCAGGCGCTGTCGCGACCGGGAGACCCATGGGTGGCGCACAATTGGTCCAGCGTCATCCAAGGTAGGGTAGGGTTTGGCCGGCAGGGATGTGGGTTTGTTTCCCACGGGGGACCAGTATAAAAAATAAAAAAAACATGTATGCATTCACTAACTGTAAGTCGCTCTGGATAAGAGCGTCTGCTAAATGACTAAAATGTAATCTAAGACTATTAACCATGCATTACAGATGGTAATAACAGTAAATAGGGGTGTGGTGAAGGGGAATCTTTAGGTTGTGTATTGTGCTACAAATGAACAGTTTCATGGCATGGTTTTTCAACTACTTACATTGGGGTCTCCCTCCGGTGTATCGCTGTGGGCAGAGGGTCTGTAGTTAGCCCCCCCTCTGTAGACGTTGATCCTCTGGGCCATCAGTCCGGTAGGGGGGTACAGACCCTGGTCCTGGAAGCCACACAGCTGCTCCATCTCCAGGTGTCTGGGCATCTTGTGGCTGTGGAAGCTGTGGGGGTATTTTTCCTCTGGGCTGTCCAGCTCCTGGCCATCCTCGTACACATGCTTTAGCACCCTGCCGCTGACTGACGAGGCCAGCTTGAACCTCACCTTCCTGGGTTTGCTGTCATACAGCTGGTCGCTGTCATACCTCTTGTCCAGTTTCCTCTGGAGCTCCTCCATGGTTCTGCTGCTGGAAGATGTAACTTTGACAATCCACCTGAGACCCTGAGGACCCTATATCCCTACCTGAACAAGGAGCTGATAAGATATGGGGAGTATTCCATGGACTGCTTGAGATCAGCCTACCTCTACCTGCTGTCTGTCTCTAGCTACCACAGCTGAATTATTCAGTATCAGATCGTATTCACTAAAGGATAATGGGGAAACTGAGACCATATCATCAAATAATCATGTTTGCTGGAGTAGTAGAGTGTTGCTAAAAACATGAATTGTGGGCGTGGAGCAGAGCGCGAATTACAGGGGGCCCAGGGGGTTCTCAGGCCCCCTGAATGAGTCCCCCTAAATGCAACAAAGTATAACTTGGGGGGGGGGGGGGGGGGGGGGGGGGTCTCAAAATAATGCTAATTTAACCATTCTCCAATTTGTTTAAAATGCAATTTCTACCGGTACAGTGGTAAATATTAAAATAAAAGTTTATTCCAAATTAAACAAACACCCCCAACCTCTGAGTCATGGTTTAAAACCATTTTCATTTTTAAAAATAATATGTGGCTGCATCCCTGACAGTCCCGTATTTCAGCCCCTTTTCAAATCAAATCAAAGTTTATTGGTGGCATACACAGATGTGCAGATGTTATTGCAGATGCAGCAAAATGTTTATGTTTCTAGCTCCAACAGTGCAGTAATAATACCTAGCAATACTAAACAATAAGCACATAATCCTAAACGTAAAAAGGAAGAAATATCAGAACGAGCTATTTGTATTTTGTATTTATTATGGATTATTATGGATCTCCACTACTCTTCCTGGGGTCCGGCAAAATTAAGGCAGTTATACAATTTAAAAAACATTACAATACATTCATAACAGATTTCACAACACACTAAGTGTGTGCCCTCAGGCCCCTACTCCACTACCACATATGTACAACACAAAATCCATGTGTACGTGTGTGTACAGTGCGTATGTTATCGTGTGTGAATGCATGTGTCTGTGCCTATGTTTGTGTTGCTTCACAGTCTGAGCTGTGTGCTAGTCATTTAAACAGACAGCTCGGTGCTTTCAACATGTCAATACCTCTCACAAATACAAGTACAGATGAAGTCAATCTCTCCTCCACTTTGAGCCAGGAGAGATTGACATGCATATTATTAATGTTTGCTCTCTGTGTAAATCCAAGGGCCAGCCGTGCTGCCATGTTCTGAGCCAATTGCAATTCCTACGTCCCTCTTTGTGGCACCTGACCACACGACTGAACAGTAGTCCAGGTGTGACAAAACTAGAGCCTGTAGGACCTGTCTTTTTGATAGTGCTGTTAAGAAGGTAGAGCAGTGCTTTATTATGGACAGACTTCTCCCCATCTTAGCTACTGTTGTATCAATATGTTTTGACAATGACAGTTTACAATCCAGGGTTACTCCAAGCAGTTTAGTCTCCTCAACTTGCTCAATTTCCACATTATTTATTAGAATATTTTGTTGAGGTTTAGGGTTTAGTGAATGATTTGTCCCAAATACAATGCTTTTAGTTTTTGAAATATTTAAGACTAACTTATTCCTTGCCACCCATTATGAAACTAATTGCATCTCTTTGTTAAGTGTTGCAGTCATTTCAGTCGCTGTAGTATCTGACATGTATAGTGTTGAGTCAAAGCCAGTGACATGTCGTTAGTAAAGATTGAAAAAAAGAAGGTGCCTAGACAGCTACCCTGGGGAATTCCTGATTCTACCTGGATTATGCTGGAGAGGCTTCCATTAAAAAACACCCTCTGTGTTCTGTTAGACAGGTAGCTCTTTATCCACAATATAGCAGGGGATGTAAAGCCATAACTCATACGTTTTTCCAGCAGCAGACTATGATCGATAATGTCAAAAGCTGCACTGAAGTCTAACAAAACAGCCCCCACAATCTTTTTATCATCAATTTCTCTCAGCCAATCATCAGTCATTTGTATAAGTGTTGTGCTTCATGAATGTCCTTCCCTATAAGCATGCTGAAAGTTTGTTGTCAATTTGGGTTGGTAACTAAGGGTTGGTAACAGGCTGATTGGTCGGCTATTTTACTATTCTTAGGTAGCGGAATGACTTTTGCTTCCCTCCAGGCCTGAGGGCACACACTTTCTAGGAGGCTTAAATTGAAGATATGGCAAAAAGGATTGGCAATATCGTCTGCTATTATCCTCAGTAATTTTCCATCCAAGTTGTCAGACCCCGGCGGCTTGTCATTGTTGATAGACAACAATAATTTTTTCACCTCTTCCACAATCACTTTACGGAATTCCAAATTTCAACTCTTGTCTTTCATAATTTGGTCAGATATACTTGGATATGTAGTGTCAACATTTGTTGCTGGCATGTCATGCCTAAGTTTGCTAATCTTGCCAATGAAAAAATCATTAAAGTAGTTATCAATGTCAGTCGGTTTTGTGATGAATGAGCCATATGATTCAATGAATAATGGAGCTGAGTTTGCCTTTTTTCCCAAAATGTCATTGAAGGTGCTCCAAAGCTTTTACTTTCATTCTTTATGTCCTTTATCTTTGTGTTGTTTCTTCTTCTTTTTATTCAGTTTAGTCACGATTTCTCAATTTGCAATACTTTTGCCAATCAGTTGTGCAGCCAGACTTATTTGCCATTCCTTTTGCCTCATCCCTCTCAACCATACAGTTTTTACAGTCATTTTCTTAACGGGTGCATGCTTATTAGTAACTGGGATAAGCAATTTCATAAATGTGTCAAGTGCAACTTCTGTTTACTCCTCATTACTCACCACGGACCAACAAATATTATTTACATCAACAACATAGAAATCACTACAAAACGTATTGTATGACCTCTTATACACTATATTAGGCCCAGCCTTTGGAACTTTGGTGTCACGATCGTTAGAGTGAGTGGACCAAGGCGCAGCGTGATGAACGAACATACTTTATTTAATGACTGAAGACACGAACAAAACAATAAACGATACCGTGACGTCCAAAGGTTAAACACAACCAACACGGAATAACCCAAAAGGAACAAACCAACTGGAACAAGATCCCACAACTATTGTGGGAAAACAGCCTCTATAAATATGGCTCCCAATCAGAGACAACCAGCAACAGCTGACACTCGTTGCCTCTGATTGGGAACCACTCTGGCCAACACAGAAATACCAAACTAGAATCCCAACATAGAACAACAACACATAGAATATACACACCCTGGCTCAACATATAGAGTCCCAGAGCCAGGGTGTGACAGTACCCCCCCTAAAGGCGCGGACTGCGACCGCGCCTCAACATGGACCAAACAGGGGAGGGCTGGGTGGGCATTCCTCCTCGGAGGCGGTTCCGGCTCCGGGCTCGCCCACCACCCTCCAATAATCCCCCCGTAGCGCCCCTGGTCCGGTCTGGCCCCGCTGGCTGGAGCTGGACTGGACATCGTAGGAGCGGATTGCTTAAGCTCCGGTGTGGAGCAGCTGACCGGTACCTGACCAGGCACCGGTGACCCAGGCACGGGTTGTGCCGGCCTGACGACACGCACCCCTGGCTTGGTGCGTGGAGCAGGAACGGGCCGGACCGGGCTGACGATGCGCACCCCTGGCTTGGTGCGTGGAGCAGCAACGGGCCGGACTGGGCTGACGATGCGCACCCCTGGCTTGGTGCGTGGAGCAGGAACGGGCCGGACCGGGCTGACGATGCGCACTCCTGGCTTGGTGCGTGGAGCAGGAACAGGCCGGGCCGGGCTGGCGACGCACACCGTAGGCTTGGTGCGAGTGGCAGGAACAGGCCGGGCCGGGCTGGCGACGCACACCGTAGGCTTGGTGCGAGTGGCAGGAACAGGCCGGGCCGGGCTGGCAACGCACACCGTAGGCTTGGTGCGAAGGGCAGGAACAGGCCGGACCGGGCTGGCAACGCACACCGTAGGCTTGGTGCGAGGAGCAGGAACAGGCCGGGCCGGGCTGGTGACGCACACCGTAGGCTTGGTGCAAGGAGCAGGAACAGGCCGGGCCGGGCTCGCGACGCGCACCGTAGGCTTGGTGCAAGGAGCAGGAACAGGCCGGGCCGGGCTGGCGACGCGCACCGTAGGCTTGGTGCGAGGGGCAGGAACAGGCCGAGCCGGGCTGGCGACGCACACCCTAGGCTTGGTGCGAGGAGAAGGAACAGGCCGGGCCGGGCTGGCGACGCGCACCATAGGCTTGCTGCGAGGGGCAGGAACAGGCCGGGCCGGGCTGGCGACGCGCACCGTAGGCTTGGTGCGAGGAGCAGGAATAGGCCGAGCCGAGCTGTGGAGACGGATATCCGGGACCGAGGAGAGGCACTGGAGGCCACGAGCGCTGAGCCGGCACACTCCGTCCTGGCTGCATACCCACCTTCGCATGACACGTGCGGGGTGTTCGCACAGGACGTACCGGACTATGCCGGACCACTCGTGGCACAGTACGCAGCTCAGCATACCGCGGAACCTGCCCAGTCTCATGCTGCCATGCCTGAGTACGGGGAGTTGGCTCTGCTCTCCATCCAGGCTCCGCCAACCTGCCTTCTGACCCCCCAAACCCGGTGGCCTCCTCTCCTAATCTCCCAATTCGCCCTGTGGCAGCCTCCTGCTGCCCAGTCGCCCATGCCGTGTGCCCCCCCTAAAAAATTTCTGGGGTTGCCTCTCATCCGTCTGACGACGACACTGTTGACGCCGTTGCTCCTCTCTCGCCATGGCCTTAATCTTAGCCCATGGCCCTTTGCCCCCGAGCATGTCCTCCCAGGACCACGATTTGCCCACCTGGGCCATCGCCAAACTCTCCAGCTCCTTTCCCGGCGCTTCCTCCCATGTCCAGGCCGCCTGCTCCTGGACACGCTGCTTGGTCCTGGTATGGTGGGATCTTCTGTCACGATCGTTAGACTGAGTGGACCAAGGCGCAGCGTGATGAACGAACATACTTTATTTAATGACTGAAGACACGAACAAAGCAATAAACGATACCGTGACGTCCAAAGGTTAAACACAACCAACACGGAATA